ATGTGGCCGAACATCCAGACCGTCATCGCGCATAGGAATTGAACCTCTCAACAAATAAGTTGCATCGAATTTTGACAAAAGATTAGTCTCTACATGCTTACAAAATTCAATTGACGCAAGAACTGAAAGCTGCTGACCATTTGGAGAGCCGGACATTCGTCAATTGGCTGCATGATGAAGATTTTTCGCAGAAACATCCTCTTTACTAATGAAACCCATTTTCATCTCAGTGGATTCGTTAATAAGCAGAATTGTCGCATTTCGGCTCATGAGAATCCAAGGAGGATTTTTGAAAAGACACTAAATCCACAAAAGGCCACTGTTTGGTGGGCATTTTTATCTAACGGAATCATTGGGTCGTATATTTATAGATTTTAACGTCCATTTTCGTAATAGTCTTCGATAACTTTAACAAGTTGTTTGATTGTTAATCTTTCCATGGCTGAAATTGCAAAAAATTAAGTTGTTAAATCTGAAAAAAAAAGAAAAAAAAAGAAAAACATTAGACGCTTAAACTTAATTCAGATTTAAAATCGGTCCAAGTTATTGCAACACTCTTTAGATATGTGAAATAGATTCTGAGGAGATAAATTATAATTAACGAGACTTCTTTTAAGAAAAATAAAAAAAAAATAAAAAAATGATAAGGAAAAAGAAATGAAGAAAAAAGGTAAACATTTTAATGGATTAGAAAGAGAGGAAGATGGAAAATGGAGTTTAATTAAGTGATTATTTTTCGTTCGTTTTAAGAAAAAAAATATAGATGAAGGAAATTGAAAGAAAAATGAAAAAAAAATATTTCATGAGATTTGGAAGAGATGGAGACGGAAAGAAAAAGAAAAGCAGACAATTTAACAAGGGAATATATTTTATTTGTTTTAACACTGAGTCCTGACCACCGCATTACTGGTAGTAGAGAAAAATGACTTAATACCCAGCCACCGGTTGAACGGTGGGAAAAGAATTGTAACTATTTTTATATCTACAGTGAAACATTACATACCAATTATTTGCGAATTTTGAATCAGAAGCCCAGGCAAAAGGATTAAAATTGTTCATGAACACAGGGCTCAAAGGGTTAAGAACTTGCTTCCTCGAGATGAGCGTTAACGAAAGTGAGTTCAATCATAATCTCTCCCTGCTACGTATAATGCTTATATTTTTTGTAACTATTTTTATATATAACGTGAAACATTACATACCAATTATTTGCGAATTTTGACTCAGGAGCTCAGGCAGAAGGATTAAAATTGTTCAGGAACACAGGGCTCAAAGGGTTAAGAACTTGCTTTCGAGATGAGTTGAAGAGTTCAATCAAATATATAATGCTTATATTTTTGTAACTAAATATAACGTGAAACATTATAATTTGCGAAACTCAGGAGCTCAGGCAGAAGGATTAAAATTGTTCAGGAACAAGGGCTTAAAGGGTTTCCTCGAGATGCGCGTTAACGAAAGAGTTCAATCATAAAACGTATAATGCTTATATTTTTGTAACTATTTTTATATCTACCGTGAAACATTACATATCAATTATTTGCGAATTTGACTCAGGAGCCCAGGCAGAAGGATTAAAATTGTTCAGGAACTCAGGGCTCAAAGGGTTAAGAAGAATATAAAAAATGATAGAAAATTGGAAAGAAGGAAAACATAGAGAGATTTGAAAGCGTGGGAGAGTAAGTGTAACACACGCCTTCAGTTTCATGTCACATTATGTAACAGGTCTTGCTATTTATTATACTTAGGTTACCGCATGCACTGAAGCTATAACCGCAGGAATGTGTCTAAAGCAAGCTCTTTCACAGCTACAAATCTACCATACGCCTATGCATGGAATACTGTTTAGATATATGGTCTGGTGCCTACGCTGTTCATCTCGAGGTTTCTCGACAAAATCCAAAGACTGATATGCAATGTGATCGGTCCTGGCTTTAGGGTCACTTTCTCACCGACGTAATGTGTCTTCCCTCTGTCTTTTCTATCAAAATTTTCACGGCAACTTCTCTGACGAGCTATTTTCACTGTTACCCCAACTGAATGAATTTAAGCGTGCTACTAGGTTGGCATCACGATCCCACTCTTTTACTGTTGAAACAGGTAAATGTAACTGCTCTTCTACTCCAACAGCTGCTTTTCTCGCACTTCCCGACAGTGGAACTCTCCTCTTATCGCTTCCCTGATTACTTCAAAAATTTAAATGTAATGTCAATCGACATCTTCTGTTGCCTTGAACCACATTTTTCTTTTTATCTTCCTCCGTTTTTTTCTTTTTTTATCCTTTCCTCAACCGCCCCTATATTCAATCTTTTCCTTTACTTACACTCTATGTAGTCCCTTGCGTATTACTGGCACTCCTGCCTCGTTTGGTGTGTGTGTGTGTGTGGGAGGGGTGTAATTCTAAAAAAAAAGAAAAGAACAAAAAGCTAACTTTAGACTGGTTTTGAATTAAGAGTTTCCTGTTTGCCACCCAAGGCCAGAGTGATCAATGTGACGTTGTTTAACCCATAACAGGAGAAAGATAATACATTTTCCCAGGGCATTAGTGTAAAGTGTACGAAGCAGAATCGTGCCGGAATTGAACTCAGCACGCTAAATTCACTTTCCGTGCAGTTTGATGAAAAATTATCTATTTTTTTTTTTTTGCCTTCAGTTAAATAAAGAAAAAACTGATGTAAAAGGAAAAGAAAAAGAAGTGAAATTTGAAAGAGACGAAGAAGGAAAGAATAAGAAAAAATGAGTTTCATGGCGGAATTTTTCATTCATTTTTATTCAAAGAATGAAAATTTATGACGAAAGAAAAGTAAAGAAAAATAATTTCTTTCTTCACAGACAGCAGAAGAAAAGAGAATTTTAGAGCGAATAAAACTTTTAACATTTTAAGAAAAAGTTAAAATGACCAATAATACATTTTATAATAAATTAGCCATCAGTACATTTTATAGTAAAATTACCAACAATAATTTTTTTACTTAAATGACCACCAATACATTTTATAGTAAAATGACTAACAATACATTTTATAGTAAAATGACTAACAATAAATTTTATGGTAATATGGCTAACAATACATTTTTTGTAAAATGACTAACAATGCATTTTATTGTAAAATTACCATCAATACTTTTTATAGTAAATTATCAATGAAAACTGAAGACATGGTATCCTCAGCATCCTTCTGTCGAACAACATTTCTGTTACTTCAAGTCTCCTCTTTATCTTTGAGGAGATTGTCCAGCCTTCATTAAAAATGAACGAAAACACAGGGGTGGGGAATGTGAAAGAAAGTGAAATAAATTGAGGAAATTTAATAAGGAGAGTTTTGAAAAATCGCTTTAATAAAAAAAAATTCAAAATCATAATGCAAAAAAAATAAAGAAGAAAAGTTAAAGAAAATAAAAGAAAGGAAGAAAATTTTTTAAGTGGTTTGGGAATAGAAAGAAAAGGAAAAAATCGTGTGTAATTTAATAGGGGACTTTTTAAAAAAATTGTTTGAACAAACTAAGAAAAGAATGGAAAGAAGGAAAAATGAACGGAAAATGAAAGAGAGTGAAAGAAAGAGTTTTTAAGAGTTGAGGAACAGAAAGATTGCGAAAAACACGGTATACAGTTTGTAAAGAATATTTTAAAATCGTTTAAATAAAAATAAAAAAAAATTGATAAGAAAGGGAAGGAAAATGAGAGAAGAAAAAGAAGAATTTTATAAGTCGAACATTAAAAAGAAAGTAAAATAAATGGAATGCAATTTAATAACGGTTAATCGATTTAACTAAATAAAAAAATTGATGAAGAAAACAAAAGAATAAACGTTAAAGGAAAAGTAAAAGAGCGCGAAATGAGGAAGAATATTTTAAGCAAAAATTTGTTTCAATAAAAATAAAAAAAATGATGAAAGAGCGGAAGAAAAATGAAAGAAAAATAAAAGAAATAGAGAGAAAGGAAGAATAATTTTAAGAGTCGAAGAATAGAAAGAAAGGAGTGACAGAATTAATTTCAACTTCAACCTCCGCGACGCGAATGAGTCCGAAATTTTATTGTCAATAACTCCAAAACGGTAGATTTTATCAACATTTATTTGTTATTTTTGAATTAAGCATGTAAATTTACACCTAAATGAAATTATTCGTTTTTTTTATTTTATTTTTATTTTTTTTTTTATTAGAAAAAAGCGCCGGGCTTGAAAAAAATTACCTCGAGTTGAAAAACACCCAAAGAAAGTAGAATAAATAGATTGCGATTTAATAAGTGTCGGTATTTTTTTTTAATCATTTTAATAAACTAAAAAAAAAAAAAAAGGTCGAAGAAAATAAAGAAGAAAAACCGAAAAAAAATTAAAAGTGAGGGGAAAAAAAGAAAACGAAAAAATAATGGCATGCCGTTTAGTAAGGGACCTTTTTTGAAAAATTTGTTTTAAGAAAATAAAAAAAATGTAGAAAAAAAAGAAGGAAAATGAATGAAAATAAAACAGAGAGAAAGAAAGAATATTTGTAAGAGTTGGAAGATCAAAAAAAAAAAAAAAAAAAAAAGAAAGAAAGAAAGAAAGAAAGAAAGAAAAAGAGATACAAACGTTGTGCAGTTTGATAAGAGACTTTTTTTTTAATCGCTTTAATAAAAATTAAAGAAAATAATGAGAAAAAGAAGAATAATTAAATGAAAATAAAAGAGAGAGAAAGAAAGAATAATTTTAAGAGTCGAGGAATAGAAAGAAAGTAAAATAAATGATGCGCAATTTAACGAGGGACTTTTTTAAAAATCGTTTTAACAAACTAAAAAATATTTGAAGAAAATAAAGATGAAAAAAAGGGGAAAAATAGAAGGAGAAGAGTGAATATTTTAAAAAGTTGCTGCATACGAAGATCAGCAGTTCTTTTTAAAAAAAGATTTTATTTAAAAAATCGTTTTAAAAACACCAATAAAAAAAGAATGGAGAAAAAATGAGGAAAACGAAAAAGAGGGAACAATGTATATATTTAAGAAACGAGATATGGAAGTAGTTTAAAAAAATGTGCGTGATGCAACGTGAGGTGCAATACATGCATTTGTTATAAAGTATAAAATTACTCGTAATCTCAGTACAAGTAGTCAGGGCCATTTCGCCTTCCGTCTCCTAACAACGACTACAATTTTCAGTCTTACTATAACTATTAACACCATTACAGTTACAGCAATTTTATACCGACTGCAGCTTCCATCGTGGGTATAGTAGTCCAATTCTCCTCTCGCCTCAGTGACTGCTGCTATTCCCTTATTTTCCACGACAACAACGGCGATTCCCAGACCAGATATTAGCAGATATACAAGTGATTTTTGACGCTGCTTTTTAATTTCCATCCTTTCAAATAGAATTTAAACGACGGAGAGAACTGTCCACAGTAAGTCATCTTTTTTCTTTTTTTTTGGTCGAGAGATTTATTTTTGGCTATTAGACATATTTGAAGTGCTGTCAATTCATTTGTAAAAAGCAAAAAAAAGGGATGCTATATTGAGGGTGTAGTATTTAGTCGTAAGTCGTATTAAGGGAAAATGTCGAAGGTTTTAGATGTAAAAAAACAAAAAAAAAAAAAAAGTGGATGTGAAAGTTTTTGGTTGTCGTGTTTTCCAGAATTTATTTAGACTTGCATTTATAGACGAGTTCGTTCGTTACCAAAACAAAATCCACAAAGTCTTTTTTCTTTCCTTCTTGCTTTTCTTTCTTCTTATTATTCTACACCCTTTTTCTTCTTCTTTTTCTTCTTCTTTTTCTCATTCCACACATTTCTTCTTCCTCCTCTTATTTTTCCTCTTCTTTTTCTTCTAGACATGTTTTCTTCTTCTTTTCGCCCTCATCTTGCTTTTCTTTCCTTTTCTCATTCTACGCCTTTTTTCCTTCATCATTTCTTCTTCTGTTTTCTTTTCATGTTTTCATTATATATTTTTTCATCATCTTTTTTTTCTTCTTCTTCTTGCCTTTCTTTTCTAGTTTCATTCTATACTCTTCTTCTTCTTTCTTTGCTTTCCTCTTCTCTTTTTACAAACTATTTCTATTTCACCCTTTTTTTTCTACATCTGTTTTCTTCTTCTTGCTTTTCTTTCTTGTTCTCATTATTTGCCCTTTTTTCTTCGTCATTTCATCTTCTTTTACACATTACTCCTTCTAACTCTACATCTGTTTTCTTCTTCTTTCCCTTTTTCATTCAGCACCGTTTTTCTTCTTCTTCTTCTTCATCATTTCTTCTTATATATTTCCTCTTCTTATTCTCCCTTTTCTTTTATTCTTCTTCATCCGAGTCTTCATATTTTTTCCTTTTTCTATCATTCCTTCGTTACCTGTTGTAATTTCTTCTTCATTTGCATCCTTCTTCGTCATTTCTTCATATTTCTCCTTCATTTCTTTTCTTCTTTCTTGTTCCTTTTCCTTCTTTTCTTTTTGATTTATTTCCCTTTCCTCAATCCATTCTTTTTCACTTTTTCTTTCCTCTCCCCCTCTGAATTTCTGAGATGAGGAATTATCATTATTTACATTATATTTCGTCTATTGTCGTCATCATTGTTGTTCTTATCACGACGTTTCGACCGTTGTAAACTCTCGCCTTCTCCAGATACTTATCTTTCTGAAAACTTTCTGGGAATTCCAAAAAATACATTATTATTAATATTTTTAAACACTTCTGTTTTACATCTGCCTATATTTCTGAGATGAGGTATTGTAACTATTTACATTATTTACATTATTCGGACCGTTGTCCTCATCTTTATTGCCATATTCACGACGTTTTCACGATTGTACACTCCCGCCTTCTTCAGGATCTGTCTATATTTCTGAGATGAGATATTGCAATTATTTACACTATTTACATTATTCGGACTGTTGTCCTCATCTTTATTGCCATATTCACGATGTTTCGGTTGTTGTACACCAGTGCCTTTTCCGGATCTGTCTATATTTGTGAGAGGAGGTATTGTAACTATTTACACTATATCCATTGTCCGGACTGTTGTCCTCATTTTTGTTACAATATTCACGACGTTTCGGCCGTTGTCCGCTCCAGCCTTCTTCAGCTTCTGTTCATATTTCTGAGATGAGGTATTGTAACTATTTACACTATTTACAATATTCTGATTGTTGTCCTCATCTTTATTGCCATATTTACGACGTTTCGGCCGTTGTACACACCGAATTTCTTCAGGAGTTGTCTACATTTCTTTCTTTTTTCACTATTTCCTTTTTCTACTTCAAAATATTTCTTTCTTTCTTTCTTTCATCTTCAATTTTCTTTTATTAATCTACACTATTTACTTTCGGACCATTACCCTCAACATTTTTTTCGTCATCACAACGTTTCAGCTATTGTGCCTTCCCGTCTTCATCAGTTGTATATTGATCTCGGTAAACTTAAGGGAATTCAGAACTGAATCTTTAATTAATCTACGGGGTTAGACAGTTCTCATTTCACTGCCCATGTCTAGGGATATCTCGTCTAGTTCTTATTTTTAGTACTGCTCAGTTAATGCTTGCCCTGTTCCCACTGAATCCATGTACACACTGCCCTGTCCAGGGATTGAACTGAACCCTTTATTTAATCTACGGGGTTAGACTGTCCTCGTTCCACTGACCATGTCTAGGGATATCTTGTCTAGTTCTTATTTTTAGTACTGCTCAGTTAATGCTTGCCCTGTTTCCACTGAATTCATGTACACACTGCCCTGTCCAGGGATTGAACTGAACCCTTTATTTAATCTACGGGGTTAGACTGTCCTCGTTCCACTGACCATGTCTAGGGATATCTTGTCTAGTTCTTATTTTTAGTACTGCTCATTTATTGCTTGCCCTGTTTCCACTGAATTCATGTACACACTGCCCTGTCCACGGATTGAACTGAACCCTTTATTTAATCTACGGTTTTAGACTGTTCTCATTCCACTGCCCATGTCTAAGGATATCTTGTCTAGTTCTTATTTTTAGAACTTCTCAATTAATGCTTGCCCTCTGTCCACTGAATCCATATACACACTGCCCTGACCAGGGATTGAACTGAACCCTTTATTTAATCGACTGTTCTTTTTCCACTGCCCATGTCTCGTTCTTATTTTTAGTACTGCTCAGTTATTGTTTGCCTCGTTTCCACTGAATTTATTTACACACTGCCCTGTCCAGGGATTAAAATTACAATCAATATGTCACCGCATTCAAGAATCAACAACTTTTTAATCAACTAAAAGTTTTCTTTTCGCTCATAACCATTAGACTCTTACATCTTAGTAGCTTTATTGCCTTGACTGGAGTGTAATGATTAAATAACACTTGCACATTTGGATGATTAAACGTGCCTTTTCTATAAATAATTCGATAGGAATTGTTCTTAGGAATTTTTCCATTTGTTACCTTCTAATTTACTACTAATTTAATAGTTAAAATGACTAGTCGTAGTCGTAAGTTCTATGTTAACAGTTTCTTCTATCGCACTTCTCACTTGTGGAACTCTCTTCCGGCTACTTTCTTTCCTGTCAAATCCATTGTCAACCCTTATCTCCTGTCGTCTTACTTCCTGTTCTTTTTTGTTCTCTCTCCTTAATAATGCGTTAACACACACACACACACACACACACACACACACACACACAATATATATATATATATATATATATATATATATATATATATATATATGTTCCTCTAATGGGGGGTGGCTAGCCAATCTCTATTGTAAACTCTCGCACGGGCACATTTGTGTTTGTTCAACACTCACAGAGCCAACCCGTGGTTTATACTGCAACTATGCTGTCCAGACGTTAGTTACAGTTTCTGGGAGAGAGTGTGTTATCTAGAATGATTAACAATCTGAACAACGCCAGCACACTCAAACCCTCGGCCACGATGACTTGTGACTTCGTGCTAGCACAGCTATTAGCGGTCCTCAAGTGTTCCGTCTACCCAATTTCAATCACAAGGCTGGGTCAACCCGTGGTATAGTTTTTAGACATTTTCAAAAGTTGCCGCAGGCTGGGACCTTCCCCTCACCTCGACCGATAACATCAGGAACTCTCTTTCATGACAAATCAACTGGTGGTGAGATTCGAACGTTTCGACCACTCTCCCACGCTCCCAATATATATATATATATATATATATATATACATATAAATATAAATATAGATAACTAGACTAGTTTCGAAAAACCTCGAATTTTTGATTTGCTAATCAAATCAATCTCGAGGGAAAAAAAGGTTTTAAAAAAAGAAAGAGCTACAAACATGAACTTCTGCCGACAAAAAATCGCACAGATGCAGGTCTGAAGCCCAAAGAAAAAACCCCGATACGAGTAACAACTAACTAACCAAAGAGCTCAATACAACCGTAGAGCAGACCTAGATAATAGATACATTTCGGATCGTAGTGAAAGCGCCAAACTTTCCTGACGATCCGTTTAGGTGAAACCTAGGTAGGTTTGTCTGGCTCACTAGGTATATATATATATATATATATATATATATATATATATATATATATGTATATTATTTCTTTATATGAACTTCTAGAACTCTCTTCTGGCTTCTTAATTAATCTTCGTTTTCTGTCTTCTTAATTCCCGTTATTTCATTGTTCAATATTTTCCTTTTTTTCATATTATGTCACTGGCAGTAACCCGTTGCGTCTTAGTGGCTTTAATGCTTTGCTTGGGGTGAAATGATTAAATAAACTGATTTGAGGTGTATGACGATTTCATTTTGCACACCTTTCGGATAAATTGTAAATAAAGACGTCCTATTTCTAAAAACCCTAAAATTTTGCATTTGGTGCATACATCTCCCAAGTGGACGATCTGGCAAGAAATAAGGACACATCACTCATGGTGAGCTTACAGCTGTTTTTAATTTCCTGTTCATGCTGTTTGCAAACTTTACTACATTGCTAATTGTTTTTTTTTTGTTTTTTTAGATCTTTCATAAACACACTAGGTATTCCCGGCCTTATCTAGGCTTACTTCCTAAAACAATTTTTAATATTTGCACATCTGTTACATTTTAAACCGTGAAAAACTCTCAGCAAGCATAGATGTGCTTTTGCGACAAACAGGCGACACGTGCTGATAAAAACCTGATGTCTAATGACCGTCAGAGGCCAAAGAAAACATATGGTTTAGACTAGTAAATATATATATATATATATATATATATATATATATATATATAAATACTTTATATATTAGTAAGTATTTTTAGTACTAATGTTCACCGAACAAGAATCGAGAATCACTCAAGCTAGGTGGTTAATACGAAGTTGTTTGTTTGAATTTATTTAGCGGCATGCTAACACCTCTATGGGTTGTTTAATGCAGAAATCTATATATTTTGCGCACAATTTTATGACTTCAATATACTTTGAACGCAATTG